TCTTCTGAGAAGTTTCTCTTTAGTTCCCTTTACCATTTGGTAATTGGTTTGTTGGGTTTGGGAGGGATTTGTTTCTTGACTTCCCTGTATATGCAGGATGTTAACCCCTTGTCTGATATATTGCTGGTAAATATTTTTTCCCAGTTAGTTGGCTGTCTTTCTAGCTTGGTTGCTATGTCTTTAGCTGTGCAGAAACATTTTATTTTAAAGTAGTCCCATTTGTCAAGTCTCTCTCTAATTTGTTGTGACCCTGGGACTCTGTTCAGGAAGTTCCTGCCTGTGCCTATAAGTTCAAGTGTCTCTCCTACTCTGTCCTGCAGTAGTTTCAGAGATTCAGGTTCACGTTAAGGTCTTTAATCCATTTTAAGTTGATGTTGGTGCATTGTGATAGGCTGGGGTCCACTTTTAGTTTTCTGCATGTGGCCACCCAGTTTTCCCAGCACCAATAGTTGAAGAGGCTGTTTCTTCCACTGTATGTCTTTGGCTCCTTTGTCAAATATCAGCTCACTTTAGGCCTGTGGATTTATTTCTGGATCTTCTATTCCATTGGTCTTTGGGTCTGTTTTTGTGCCAGTACCATGCTGTCTTTGTTATTATGGCTCTATAGTAGAGTTTGAAGTCCAGCATCGAGATCCTTCCCCTGTTGTCTTTTTTGCCTAGAATTGTTTTGGCTATTCTAGGTCTTTTGTTGTTCCATATGAATTTTTGGACTGTTTTCTGTATTTCAGAAATGTACATCATTGGGATTTTAATCGGAATTGCATTGAATTTGTACATTAATTTTGGCAGTATGGCCATTTTTACTATATTAAGTCTGCCTATCCAAGAGCATGGGAGGTCTTTCCATTTCCTGGTGCCTTCTGTAAGTTCTTTCTTTAAGTTTTTATAGTTTTCATTAAATAGTTCTTTTGCATCTTTGGTCAGGTTAATTCCTAAATATTTTATTTGTGGGGGGGCAGTTATTGTGAATGGGGTTGCTTCCTTTAATTCCCTTTCTGCTTGTACACTGTTGGTCTACAGGAAGGCAACTGATTTTTGTGAGTTGATTTTGTATCCTGCTACTTTGCCAAAGTGGTTTATAAGTTCTAAGAGTTTGGGGGTGGAGTTTTTGAGATCATGGAGGTATAGTATCATGTCATCTGCAAAAAGGGATAATTTAACTTCTTCCTTCCCTATGTGGATCCCTTTAATGTCTTTTTCTTGCCTTATTGCCCTGGCTAAGGGTTCCAGGACTATATTGAAGAGGAGTAGAGACAGTGGGCATCCTTACCTTGTTCCTGATTTTAGGAGAATTGGTTGTAGTTTTTCCCCATTAAGTATAATTTTGGCTATTGGTCTGTTGTATATGGTTTGTATTGTTTTAAGGAATGTTCCTTCTTTTCCTATTTTCTCCAGAGTTTTTAACATGAATGAATGAATGTCGTATCTTATCAAAAGCCTTTTCTGCAGCAATGGAGAAAATCATGTGGCTCTTGATTGGGAAATATATTTCTGTAGTATTTTGTTAATATCACCATGGTGGGACAAGACACCATAAATCAGGCTGCGCTAAACCTACTAGCATAACCATGTTCATTGCTTGCAATGTTTCCATAACCAAGATTTGGAATCAACCCAGAAACCCCCAGTGAACGAATTCATAAAGAAAATGTGGTATAAAGTAGGCTTCATCCCAGAGATGCAGGCATGGCTTTTATAACTACATAGTTGAAGGAGTAGGAAATCTGTAGGGCTCATTTTTTCAATAAAATATTAGATATTTGTGTATTTTGTAATTATAAAGATGGATATATAGAGGGGTTACAGTTACACAAATCAGGTAATGACTACATTTCTTTTTGAACAGAGTCACCTCTTCCCTTGTTTTCTGCCAGTTTTTCTCTCCAGATCCCCCTCACCATAGGTTCTATAGTAC